GGTTGGCGCAGGATAGAGCAGGGTTTAGGGCTGTTGTGCATAGGGTCGCTATGAGACGGAAACGACTCGACAGCACATAACAACAACAACAACAACAAGAAAGTGTAAAGCATAGATCCCTTACACTATCTGCATCAGAAAGTTGTTGTTAGATGCCATCAAGTTGAATCTGACTCTGTGACTATGTTTAACAGACAAAAACTCTGCCTGATTCTGAGCCATCTTTATAATCTATGCTTTGCTTATATTACTGCAGTCATCTCATGGAGGATCTTACTCTCTTTGGCTAACCTTCTATTTTTCCAAGTTTTTCTTAAGGGACTGGCCCCTCTTGATAACATGTTCAAAGTATCTGAAACAAAGTCTTGCCGTCCTTGCTTACAGGAGCATTCTGGTTGTACTTCTTCCAAGACACACCTGTGTGTTCAGCAGTCTACGGTATACTCAATACTCTCTGCCAGTACCATGATGTATATGTTGTTAAGTGCCGTCAAGTCAAGCATGATTCATAGTAACCCTATGAATAAAAGACCCAAACTCTGGTCTATAGCTATCATCATTTCTCTACATTCAGAGTTTCCAGAGGCATGCTGCTTAGGAAGTGGATTCCACTCCTGTTTCCAAGCCTGTCTCAATTCTGGGAGCTCTGCCAAACACTGTCCACTATGGGTAACCATTATAGCATTTTAGATATATTGATGATATATAGATACATAGATATGTAGATATATAGTTATATATCTCTTGTAAGTTACCCATTTTATGGACTGTGTATCCATGAGCAACTTACAACACATGGCTCGTACAATTTCAGCCAATTCTCCAGTCCCCCTTCTTTCTCTTTCTTAGACAATATGCTCTCAGGGAACAGGTATTTACAGAATATCAGCAGAAATAAAGATGAGTTATAAAAGTTTACCTCGCTTTTCAAGGAGAGGAGCGAACTGGGGGTGGGGGTGGGGTGGGTGGGGAGAAAAGTGCAACAATGAATGAATAATAATAATTGGTGCAACCACTGTGGAAGGTGGTATGGCGCTTTCTCAAAAAGTTGCAAAGAGAGATACCATTTGACCCAGCAATTCCACTACTGGGAATATATCCCAAAGAGACCATAACTGACATCCAAGCAGATAT